ACCCAGAGTCTGCAGAGGGACAGCTTATGCTTCACCACCACTTTATCTTACAATCAGCTCCAGATATTAGAAGGAAACTTAGGCGCTTAGACAAGGGCCCTGAAACCCCCACGAGAGATCTGTTGGACACGGCATTTAAAGTATTTTATAACCGAGAGGAACAGGAGAAGGCAGACAAGCTTACCCTGTCCAAACAAAAGTACCAGCTTATGGCTGCAGTCCTAAGGGCTCCTCCCAAGAACACTTCGAACGCCAATGGGGCCGAACGACATCCGCCAGGATCCTGCTTCAAGTGCGGAGTGACTGGACATTGGGGTTCAGTGAACGACCTTCTAGGCCTGGCAGCTGAAGACTGACAATGCCCTGGCTTCTCGGCCCCCACTGCTTCTATGACTATCACAATGGAGGAGCCCAGGGTTTCAGCCATGGTGGCGGGTAAGATTATTAATTTCATTATTGACACTGGCCCATCATGGTCAGGTCTCCCTTCCTACTCTGGTAAAGTTTTTCCCTCATAGATCTCTGTGGAGGGGGTTGATGGGAAGCCTCACAACCCCAAATCAACCAGACCCTTAGCCTGTGTATTCCGGAAGTTGCCTTTAACTCACTCCTTCCTGGTTATGCCCACCTGCCCAACCCCCCTACTTGTCAGGGATCTCATGCAAAAGCTCTCCCTTTCTATTTCTCTCCCATTCTCCACACTCTTTCTCCTTTCCCCTCCCCTTTTTCCGCCAGATCTTTGCCCCTTCCCCCCCACTGAAGTAAATCCCAAGGTCTGGGCATCAAGCCAAAATGTCACAATTAAGGAAGATACTGCTCTAACCTCGGGACTGCTCTTTCTCTGTTCTTCCAAAATATACTCCTGCATTTCTCCACAGATTGAGGACACCTGTGCTCCAGTCATTCTCATCCCCAAACTAACCCTATACACACCAGGAGAGGTGTATTATAGTGTGCACTGGGCTCTCTGCGCGCCCTGGAAGTGGCACAGAGGACCTGGCCACATCCCGCAGGCTTTTCCGGCGGGCTGCGTCTCCTGGATGCAGTCGCTGGCCACGGCGGCGGGCAGGTCTCTGTCCGCCGATTTTGGTGCTGAAAAGTCCCTCTGCTGCTGAGGTCTACTCAGCTGGTCCCGTCCTGATTTCACCTGTGTACTTTCCTCAGGATGCGAGGTCCACTGGCCACTGAACCACACGAGAAGAGTACGAGGATGGCGAAAGCTAGGGTGTCCGCAAGTCGGTGATGGAGGAATGTACCCCCCGGAGAGGCTGGGTTGCCGGTAGTAAGACACAAGACTCAAGACTCAGTTTAGCCCGTGTCACAGCTTTATTAAGTGTAGCTTCAAGTGATCCAGCTCTCTGTGACCCAGCTCTCTGATATTGAGAGAAAGACTGGGATATTTATACCATGGGGGTAGTGGTAAAAGCTTTGGCTGATAGATACTTTGTGAGACATTCTATTTGCATATGGAAGTGGATTTCTGCCATGCTGCCAGACTGCTGACTACCTGAAAAATCACACAGGAAAGCATGGTATTCCTAGAGCCAGAGGCCATGTTTATGTTATGGCATTTGTGGTGGGCACATCAAAAGGAGAGCCAGGAAAA